GACCGAGGCGTGGGGCGCAGGGGCCCCCCTGGGCCCCCTGGTCCCCCAGGACTGCCAGGACCCTCATCCAAGCGTGACAAACTGGTGGGTGCCCCAGGGATACAGGGATTTGGGTGGAAGGCAGAGGGTCAGGGAGGAACAGAAGGCTTCCAACAGCCCCCTGGGCAGCATTCCAGGCATCCCAACCCTGGCCAGGGGTGCCTGACATCACCCTCGTGTTTCTTCCCCAGACCTTCATCGACATGGAGGGCTCTGGCTTTGATGGTGACCTGGAGGGTCTGCGGGTGAGTGTGGGTCCCCTCCTCCTGCCAGGGGACTGGGGGACATGCTCATTCATCATCCTCTCCATCTCTCCTAGGGTCCACGGGGGCCACCTGGTCCTCCAGGGCCACCCGGCGTGCCCGGTTTGCCAGGAGAACCAGGAAGGTTTGGGATGAACCAAACAGACCTGCTGGGACTGCCAGGGCTGCCAGGCAGGGATGGGATGCCCGGGCCCCCAGGGCCAGTGGTAGGTGTATTGGGGGTGGCCAAGGGGACCCATCCCAGGGCCACCACCCCATAACGGTAGAGCCGTAAGTGTTCCCTGTGGTGGCAGGGGGCTTGGTGCCCACCAGCCCCACAGGGGTCTCCCTGTGCTGGAGCCAGTTCCTGGGTATCTTACAGGGTCCTCAGGGTCCTCCTGGAAGAGATGGGGCACCTGGGCAGCCAGGGCCCAAAGGAGAGCGGGTGAGTGTCCCCTGGGACCCTGAGGGGGCACAGCAGCTGCTGCTTGGTCCCTGCCACATCACCAGGAGGTCCCAGCTCCCTCCATCTGTGGCCCAGAGAGCATCAGCCTGCTTCTGGAGCAAGGCAGCTCCTTCACACCTCCTTCTCCTCCCCAGGGTGACGTGGGTGACCTTGGCCTCCCTGGTGCACCAGGACCCAAGGTACTGTGCCTGGGGTGGGTTTCTTGGGGCTGGGAGGTTGGGTTGCAGCCTGGAGGAAAGGCTGCTGCCTTTTTTGGGGGGGGAGGGAGGTGCTGGTGTTTGGGTTCCTCCCAGAGCAGGGCAGTGCTGCAGCTCCAGGGTGTGTGGAGCCACCAGCCACCCCTGGGATGCTCTCCAGGCTCCCACCAGCCTCACTTGGCACTGAGCAGTGGGGCAGGGCAAGGCAGGGGCTTTCAAGGCACAAGAGGAGGGCTTGCTGGGGGGCTTTGGGGTGCCTGCCTGGCGTGGGAAACACCCCCTCTTCTTAACATCCCTCTCCTGCCTGTGCCGAGCTCTGCCTTGGATAATAACCCCGTGGGTGATTTCAGACGAGCCTCTGGTGGCCACTGTGCACATTGCACCGGGAGCCGGGGCTGTCCCGGGACAAGCTGGGCCAGAGGGTGCCCCCACAAAGCTCCTCTGGCCCGGGATACAGAGGAGCATCCGTGCCCTGTTCCTGTTTGGGGATGCACTGCCTCCCACTCCCAGGGAACAGGCAGGGACTGTTGCCACCTCATCCCACCTGTCCCCTCTGTTGGTTTGGTTTTTATTTCTTTTCCTCCTCTTGTCCTCTTTGCAGGGCAGCAAAGGAGAAACAGGACCAGCAGGACCCCCAGGAGAAGCAGGGTTAGCTGGCCTTCCCGGGCCCATGGGACCCCGAGGGCCACCAGGGCCACCTGGCCCCCCAGGACCACGAGGGTCGGGCTACGAGGCTGGATTTGTGAGTGACCATCTTTGTGGCAGGGGGTGGGATGAGCTGGGGTGGGGGGGCAGACGTGGCTCAGCCCCTTCTCCCCCTCCCCAGGGTGACATGGAGGGCTCGGGGCTGCCGTTCACTGCCAGCTCCCCCGGACCTGAAGGGCCACAGGTAGCTCTGCTTCCCACCCCTTCCCTCCCTCCCATCCTTGGCATCATGTCCTCAGCCATCACCCCACCCACCCTCATGGCCCCTTTCTTGTTGCTTGCAGGGGGTGCCAGGACTGCCAGGGGTGAAGGTGAGGAGCCCTTCCAACCCCTTCCTTGCCCTTTGCCAGCTCCATCCGTGCAGGATGCCCACAGGCAGCCTGTGGGCTTTCTCCTGCTCTGACACCTCTTTCCTTGCAGGGGGAGGTTGGCAGCCCCGGGCAGCCTGGCTTGCCAGGACTGAAGGTAGGAGGTCCAGGAGATTGGGATGGGCTGCATGTGAACCTCTGGGGTTTGCAGGGTGCTGCTCCCCAGCCTGGGGCTGTTGGGAGGATGCTCCCCAATGCATCTTGCCCTTTCCCCTGCCCTCATTGCAGGGAGATGCTGGTGTGCCTGGTGTGGATGGCCGACCTGGCCTGGAAGGCTTCCCAGGACCACAGGTAGGAGCATCAAGCCCCCCCTTTTCCAGAAGGCTCCCTCCTCACTCCAGACAGGGCACCCATTGGCCCTGCAGGGTCACTTGCAGCTGCTCCATTGCCAGCAGCCAACACCTACCTCCCCAGCCCCATGCCTTCAGTGGTTGCCCTTCTGTGGGACCTGCCTGACCCCGTGCCAGGGTGCCCATGCTGCTTGGTACCCCATCCCCATCAGCTTCCCACCCTGCTCACCATCACCTCCCCCCTGGCTTGCTGCCTGGACCTTGCAGGTGGGGATGGGGGTGACCTGAAATGTTTTGCTGATGAGCAGGCAGGAGGGGGTCTCCTTGTGAGCCAGGGTCTGGCCGTGCATGATGCCAAGCAAGACCCTCACCCCTGCTTGCTCCTCCTTCCAGGGACCCAAAGGTGACAGAGGCAGCCCTGGTGAGAAGGTAGGTGCTACTGGGCTGGAGATGGGGACAGGCCAGTGGTGGCCCTGAGGCTGATGGCTTGTTTCTTCCAGGGAGAGCGAGGCCAAGATGGTGTGGGATTGCCTGGCCCCCCTGGTCCACCTGGTCCCCCTGGACAGGTCATTGCTGTCTCAAGTGAAGATGTGAGTGATGGCTTCTGGCTTCACAGCAGCTTGGAAGACCTGAAATTGGGGGTGGGGAAGGGGCCTGCCCAGCCACACATCATGCAGGGGGGTTGAGGGAGACCTCTCCTTGGAGCTGTGACCTCCTCAGGGCAAAGATCAAGGTGAAAACCCTGTTTTGTCTCTTTTTCCAGAAGTCTTTGCTGGCTTTGCCCGGTCCGGAGGTAGGTGTCCCCCTGCCATCCTCACCCACCCCTCAGCAGTGCCAGGAGGGCACCTGGTTCCTTGGGAAAAGGGAGTTTGCTCTTTACAAGCATTTCTGCCTCTCCCCACAGGGCAGACTGGGTCACGCTGCCTTCCCGGTGAGTTGGTGGCAGGGCTGGCCCTGGTGAAACCTCAGGCACTCTCAGGTTGCCATCAGGCTGTGCTTTGGGGTTGGGTGATGGGGGGGAGGGGGTGGTTTTAGGGGGTCAGGGCTGACACCTGGAAGGTTTGGTGGGTGAGACCCCCCTCCCTGGAAGTGTGCAAGGCCAGGTTGGATGGGGCTTTGGGCCACTTGGTCTAGTGGGAGATGTCCCTGCACCCTGGCAGGGTGGTTGGAGCTGGATGATCTTCCAGGTCTCTTCTGACCCGTTCTGTGACTTCTATGGGGTGAGATCTGTGTTCCTCCCTGCAGGGCCCGGTGGGACCGAAAGGAGAACGGGGCTCATCTGGTCCCCCAGGCTCCCCAGGGTTGAAGGTGAGTGCTCTGAGCTACCTCTGCTGCCTGGAACGTTCACACTCCGGGTCCCCCACCCAGCCCTGCCGTGCTGGGTGAGCCCTCCATCTCCCCTCCTCTCTTCCAGGGGGAGAAGGGGGAGCCCGGCGTCATCATCAGCCCCGATGGGACCGTGGTCACTGCCAAGGTGAAAGGAGAGAAGGTGGGTGCTCCTTGGGAACAGGGGGGACGTTCCCCTGCCCCGGGTGCTGGGTGTTCCCAGTGCTGATGTCCTTTGCCCTGTCTGCAGGGCGAGCCAGGGCTGCGGGGACCCACGGGACCCACGGTAAGTCCCCATCACTGTGATCCCCCTCCTATCCCACAGGGAGAGGCGGGGCTGATTCAGGCAGAGGGGGGCAGAGGGTGCCCCCCTCTCTAAGCACCCCCACCCTCGTCTTCTCTCCCCTTTCCTAGGGTCCCCAGGGACGAGCAGGGATGAAGGGAGAGATCGGCTTCCCGGGCAGACCCGTAAGACCTGCTCCCGGTTTGTTTGTCCCCTCAGCCTTCTCTGCTGCACCCCCCAAACCCCCCCCGTCGTGTCCCTGTGGTGCTGGGGGGGTGAGGCGATGATGATGCCGGAGGTGATGCCGAGCTGTCACCCTGGAGCCAGTGGGGGGAGAGGGCTTGGGGGGGGGGGGGGGGAGGATGAGGCTCATCTGTGCTGCTCATCCGCAGGGACGTCCTGGCATGAACGGGCTGAAGGGTGAGAAGGGTGACCCTGCTGATGTCAGCAGCCTGCTGGGCTTGCAGGTGAGCGCTGCCATAGCCCCCCCTGGGCTACCAGCCCACCAAAAGTGGGACACACACACACACACACACACAGCAGGGGATCTGAATCCCTCTGCTGAACGGCTCCCATCTCCCTCTCCCAGGGACTGGGTACCCCCCCACCCAGGGTAGGGCATGGCCCCCGTGGTCCCCCTCCCATGGGGGAAATGTGACTCTGACACATCACCTTCCTCCCCTGCAGGGTCCCCCAGGACCACCAGGTCCCCCGGGCCCTCCCGGGCCACCCGGCAGCATAGTCTATGACAACAGGAATGTGAGTAACACCACGGTCACCTTGATGGTGGGGGACAACTGGGGGGTGGACACACACCAAGAACCCCCAGTGCCCTCCCGCCTGGCCTAGAGGAGGGGCTGGGGGAGCATTCCAGTGGCATCCCAGCCAGGGCTGATGCGTGGGGCTGCCTCATCCCAGGTGAGGGTCCCTGAGGGGGCTGCAAGCTCTGCAAGCCACTTCCTTTGCATCCTCACAGGCCTTCAGTGACTCTGGCCATCCCGCACTGCCCGCCTTCCCCGGTAAGGGGGTGTCCCAGGGAGCGGGGAGGGACCCTCTGTCCCTTTTGGAGCTGGGGCCAGGATGCTGCAGCACTGACCTGGCATCTCTTGGCTGCCCCCTCTCCCTCCCTCCCCCCTGCAGGTTTTCCTCAATTTCCAGGACAAAAGGGAGAGAAAGGTGATGCTGGAGCCCCAGGCCCCCCAGGTGGGTGACCCCTCCCCACAGGCAGAGGGCGGGCAGGGGGTGGCTGGTGCCTACCCTGGCTCTCTTCTCCCCTCCTCTCCCTCTCTGCAGGCCACTTCCCCTACGACCCCAGTCGCTTTGGTGCCAACCTGCGGGTAAGCCCTTGGCCCACCCTGTGGCTGGGGGTGACAGGGCCAGCACCCCCACACTATTTGGGGGTACTGGGGTGTGCCCTGGCTTCTCACTCTGCATCTCTG